TCTTAATTCCGGCAGTATATTTAAGTTTCTTGTTGAGGTTGAAACTGGCTTGCTTTTTTTGGAGGTCTTCTATTTTTTTACATAAATTCTCAAGGCAGGATTCTTTGACTTGCTTCTTTATTGATTTTACGGTATTCGATAATATTTCTATTTTTGTGTTGCCGTCGAACTTCCATCAGGTCTAGAATTTCTTGTGTCATCCACTCATTTTTTGCCAACATGGTAGGTGTTTTCAAAGACTCTTGTACGTTTTTTAAAATAGAGTTTTGAATATCATAACAGCATTTTCGTTAATGGTTTTGTTTTCGTTTGGTATATTTGATATTCTGTGTATTTTACTATTTATTTGCTGTGATATGACAGAACTGTATACAGATTTGTATATGCGTTGGTGTAGAGAACTGAATATTACGCCAGTTAAAGAAAGTGCATACAGAAAAATATTTGATAATGAATATAACATAGGGTTTAAACTACCTCGATCTGATACTTGCAAGACTTGAGTTCAGATGAGACGATCATTAAAATAGAAAAAGCAAAAGACATTAATAATACAGATTAAGAAAAATATTTAACTTCTTTATTGAATTTACACCTAGCCCGTGCTGATACAATGCAAACTTTCCTAAAAACTGAAAAAAAAAAACGAATGTATTACAAATAAGTTAAAATTAGTAATCTCGTTTAACTTACAGCAAATTATGCCTCTGCCAAAATTAAGCACTGGTCCTGCATTTTCCTATAGAAAAATTTGGCTTTATAATTTAGGAATTAATGACTGTACCAACGGAATACATTAACTTATGGACCGAAGATCAATCTAAGCGCGACGCGGATGAGGTTACTTCTGTTGTGATGAATTTTTCAGAGACTAAGTCTCGTTGTAATGTTATGAAGAGCGCGTTGTTTTTACCGATAACTGTTCAGGTTAGAATAAGAACTTTTAATTATTGGTTTTTTTAATTGCAGTTTGTCAAGGAAAAGAAATTTAAACAAATAACACATCATTTTCTGGTTAGTGGTTATTCTATTATACCATCAGACCTGGATTTTGCTCAAATTGAGAAACGGCAGTGAAACCGTGCACCAGTTATTTATTTGCCAGAAGGTTGGGCAGATATTATTATGAAATCAAATAAAAGGAATCTTGTTGTTGTTACGCAGATGACACAGAGTGATTTGTGCAGTTTTATAAAAAATATAAAAATAAGATAGCACGTTTTTCTGACAAGCAGAGCTTAGATTTTGCTGCAACATACAGCTTTTGATTTAAATCACAAAAGGTTGGGTTAGTTTTGTCAAACATAGTCTCTATGAAGAATATCAAGAAGTTAATGTCATAAGAAAAGGCAGACCTATAACAATAGAGTTGTCAAATATTCAAAAAATATACAAAAAGCCTATAAAAATTACAAAAAATAAAATAAAAAATACAAACAGCTTATTAGCTTATATTCCGCCAGTCTACCATACCTTTTATAATCAGCTAGAAGAAGCTACTGACAATGATAATGAAGAAGTGAAAATTGTAAATATATAATTTTTTTTTTTTTTCAATTATATTGTTACGATTTTTTTGACCGAAAGACATGTTAAGCCACATTTTTTAAATAAACTTAATTTTTTTATAAATATGCATTTTTTTCTGTAAAATAATAAATTTTTATGCATTTTAATGACTAACACAATCTAAAGTTAAGTTTTCTAAGGTTAACTCAAAATTATTAAAATTTTTTGATTTTTTTTTAAACTTTAAACCTTAATATCTTAGCTTTCTTATTTTGTGGCTTACCATTATGTTTCAAAAAGGTCTTCAATTGCTTTCAATAAAGAAAATATCAACAACCTATACACAAATGTGTTTTTATCACTATTTGTACGTAAGTACTAATAAAACCGGTATTTACAGTAATAAATTGAAAAATCAACACTAATTTAGAGAGCAATACAAACGTATTTTAAAAATTGAGAGAATTTACTGTTGTAAAATTCAGCACATTGGACAATTTAAATCGATACTTTTATACTGAATTCAAAACAGTTGTATATTCATAGAATAATAGCCTGTAGCAATGAAACATTAAATTTTATAAAAACTTAGGTAATTATAGCTAAAAATTTTAATGTAACTTCACTGAAAATTAACAAAAACTTTAAAAATGATAAAACCACACAGTTATGGGCCATACGACAATAGCTATTGGCATATAATATTACAGTCATTGGCCAATCATAATTCCTATTTTAAGATTTTTTTGATTTTACAGGTAGACACACAAAATTGACATGTTATTCCAATTTTTGATTTAGTTGTATTATACAAACAAGAATAACATAATCCTTTATATAAAAAAGATTCTTTACAGATGAATTGGTGTCTTCTGATTTTTTCATTATTATATCCAAGATAATATGTATTTTGATGTTCTGGATACTCCTCACTTTCGAAACACAACTTTCTTTTAACCGATTCACCAGCACGTTTTTCTATGCTGGTTTCCAAATTTGTATATTTTCTTCAAATTTAAAGAATTTATATTGCTGCAAACATAAAAAAATATGTTATTGATTGTGGGCAGAATAACGCTTTTGTCTACAGATTCAGGAAGTTAGTTTCATGATAATTGTTAGTCTTCTTAGGTTGATTACTTCTGGTATGTGTACTTTAATTCCACTTTTTAAAGTAGTTCTTTTTATTGTATCTGCATGTACAGTATCACGTGTACTAATTCTAATATTTTCCTTCTTTTTTACGACAGTTTGGACCATTTTTGCTCTCAAAATTATGTCTTGTGGTAATGTTTTTTTATTACTCCGTGTTCTTGGTCTTACTTTATAGTGTCGAGTCTTGGACTATGAATAAAAATTATCTAAATAGCTAAATAGCATTGAAGCTGTCGAAATGTGATGATATAGACAATATTTAAAAGTTTCTTGCGTGGAGAAGATTCGAAACTTCACATTACTAGAACGTCTCAGCAAGACTACAGAGATTATAAAAAGCATCAAGACGAGAAAGTTGGATACATAGGACATGTAATAAGATATTTTAAATATAGATTGCTGCAAAATATTATGCAAGGGAAAATAGCAGGTAAACGCAGTCCAGGACGAAGAAATACTTCATGGTTAAAGAATCTGCGAGGTTTGTATGGTATTGATACAAACATGCTATTTAGAATGGCAGTGAATAAAATTAAGATAGCTATGATAGTAATCAACGACATGGTACATGAAGAAGCAAACAATGGCTGCAACTTATAAGAGGTGTGCGGCGGAATTGTATTGTAAGAAATACGATGTCGTTGTCTCTTCCATAATTTACAGTCTCCAATGAGCAGTGGCTCTCACGGTTGTCCATAACTATTAAATGTTTTTGATCAAGGCTAAGCTGAGCGAAACGAACAAAGTGTTCCAAAAACTTCAGAAAACCAGAGTAAATCATCCAGCCACTGGAATATTTTGTTGCATTGCTGCCAGGAAGTGCATGGCTTAAAAACCTGTCCTACCAGTCTTTTCTGCGAAATATCATGTAAGGAGGCATGTGATACCCTGTAGAATTGATGCCAGCATACACCGTAACCAGTTCACCTCGTTCTGCAGATGTAGTTTTGTTCACCTGCTTCGACTCGTTCACAGCATTCATTTTAGCAGGTTTGTGTACTGTAGTGAGGTCAGTTTCATCAATATTTCATATACTTTCAGGAGGAAACTGGTACCGTGTATAAACATTTGTTAATTGATTAAAGAATATACCAACTGTGTGACGATAAAAAGCTGAACTTCGTGCCAAGCTTGTGGCGTCTGGTGTCCTTAATGACAGCGTAGGTTTTCTATCAAGAAAACTTCTGTACCTTGGTTTATCCCAGGCAGGGAGATATAATATCTTATTTGTTGCAGCATAGGAGTATGATAATTCACGCCATTGCACCACAGTAAGATCGTAATACATCTTGGACATATCTTTCGAAAACATACATAAAGTTCTTTTTCCTGGTCAAGTGAAAAAACCTGGCGCACCTTGTAGCCTAGGAGAGATATCATGTTTTTTTCTTCACAACCTCTTCAATGTCATGACATTTATTTCGAACTGCCTAGCGGATGCTTACTTCCATTTTTTACCGCATATACAGCCGCTTTTAACATTTTCTGCATCAGGTGGAAATTTTTTCGTTGCTCCTATTTTAGTTGAGTACTTACGTGGCATCTGGAAAAACAAACATGAATAAAATCAATTACATTAAACACGTGATTAAAAGAAACACAAAGTGGGATACTAGATCCTGGAATCAAGTATCCTCCATTTAATAGGATCAAATATGCCTGCAATGATATTTTCTAATTAGTGCAAGTTTTAGGTTAAAGCAGTTACAATTTAAATATCAATCTTTTAGTATTTGATGGATACAAGTATAAATGTTTTACCTATTTGGGTAGTATAATTATAAACTAAACGAATTAAAGTTGTTATAACTTACCTCGCAAGCGTAAAATAAATTTTTAATGTGACAAAATAGTATAAGCTTGATTAAAATGTTCAGTGTGTTCTGAAGTAGCAGCCATTTCTAAAACAAAGTATACAGTATGGCTTCTACCCAAGTGGATCAACAGAACAGTAATAGGATATCATTGGGCGCCAAATTTGAATGGGAATCAACCGGGATCAACTATTCCAGCTCTTCCCTATATTGTTGTTGTAAGCTTCAACTAAAAGTACGAATAAAATAGTGCATATTATGTCTGTAGTTGAAGTAAAACATGATTCCGTCTGCGCGAACGAGATGCGCGTACTTATTTTTTTAAACAGAGTGGGCATTCTGATTGTTTATTATTCTGTATCACTACTTTATTATATTTTTAACACCCATTTACTCTATCACCTGCTTAATCCACTTTATGTACAATTTCTTCTACTTTTTTTTGTAATATAAAATATGACATATCGATAAAGTGACATTTGCACCATATCTGATTGATTTTATATGTATAAATGTCATTGAAAAAAATATACGTTGGGATATTTTTTATTGTGTGTTTATAAATTAGAGACAAAATGGCCAAAATTAAACAAGATAAGTCATTAGGCTCTAAATTTGGAAGGCCCGATTTGGAAAGAGTTGGTCTGTTCTCAGAAATGCCATATATGCACGGTGTTAAATATCCATGGCCAAAACCAGACTATTTAAAAGGCAAAAATTTTATAGCAGATTCCCTCAAAATAAAAACAGGCAGAGCAGATTGTTATTTCGAAAAAGAATTTAAAAGAATATATACCGGAGAAGCGATAAAAGGGAGAGGTAGAAAGCAAAAAGTACCAAAGGGTAAAAGTATACATAGTCGTGACTTTATACCATCTGGACCTGCAAAGAAACATGCTACGCCAGGTGACTATTATGGTACATTTGAAAAAGTTTCACATTTCAGGTCAGTATTATCTATTTATGTTTATTGGACCAGAATTTTTTTTTACTATTAATAGAACTGTATTATAAAGTTTTAAAATGTTAAGCTTTTATTGATTTATAATAGTTACAACTGTGATTATCTATCGCCCAAATTTTGTTATTCTAACCTTTAGGGGTGGTCAATAATAGCATTGTCAATTTAAAATCGCGACGGAGCTTCCATCTTTAATTTTAACGAGAACCGTTTGTGCTCAATATCTGCGCTATATTCGTAATTTTCGACAACCATGGTAAGAACTGAAATTGTGGCGAATTTGTTTTCCGAAAATTTACATTTTGCAATTTTTTTTAAAAATTGATATTATCCAAGTTAATGGGAAAATAGTGAAATGTTATATAATGTATAATAAATGTTATAAAAGAGAATTATATTTTATACAATATTTATCTCTTTAATTTTTTTGCTAAAGTGAATATAAACAGGCTTGTTAATCCTAATTTGGCAACGCATGTTATACTATCGAGGGTATACCAGCAGAACGCACTTCGGCTGAGTTGACGAGTGTATTTAAAATTTGTGGTTTTTGTGATTAAGCAAACGTGAATAAAATTTCGATTTATATAATCATAAGTAATTGTGGAAAAGCTAAACGCATTTTAGAACTATGTTTACATACCGCTGGAGTAGAATCTCGTATTTATTATATTGTAAAAGGTATTATATTTTGATAGTATAAGGTCGTCATAAATTATAGGTTATGTTATCAATAAATATTATTGTTTACTAGAAAAACTTGATTCTTTGAAATTTTTTAATTGGTAACATACTGAATAATTTTGTATTTTCACACTGAGGGTGAAATTGTTTCTGTCTCTGGCAACTCTTCTCCGTGCTTTAACTTCGATGGATTTTAGATCATCCTCTATGTTATCTAGATACCTAAGTTTTTGCCTAATTACATGCTCTATCTATCAAACGCGTGCTAATTTAATAAATTTTACAACGTCCGGTTCCCCAAAACTTCTGTATAATTCAAAGTTGTAGCGCCTACGCCACAAACCCTGTTCTTGGACACCTCCATATATTTTCCTTAGAATTTTTCTTTCGAAATGCCTAAGCAGTTCTTGGTCGTAAGTGACCACATTTCTGACCCGTATGTTAACACTGGCCTAGTATTTTATATATGGTAATTTTAATTTTTCTGGTTAGTTTTGGGGTCATCTGTTTTCTCAAGCCATAATAGCATTTATTGGCAAGCACTATTCTTCTTTTAATTTCTTCGCTGACATTGTTGTATTTGGTCAGCAGCGAGCCCAGGTAGATGAAGGTGTCGACACCTTCTAGTTCTAGATTATCAATTAATAGTCTAGGTATCTGGTTGCCTGATCTAGTACAATACATATACTTGGTTTTCTGTACGTTTATTTTTAATCCCATTCTCAGTGCAGATGCCCTTAATGATCGAAACGCTTTGATCAGAGATTCCGTGGACCTAGCAATAATGTCTATGTCATCTGCATATCCGACCACTTGTACAGATTTATTAAAGATGGTGCCATTCGTATGATTATGGCACTCTCAAATTACTTTTTCTGGTGCAAAGTTAAATAAGAGACACGACAGTCCATCTTCCTGTCTCAGTTCATTTTTACAATGGAAGGGTCTTGTAAAGTTGTTTTGGATTCTGACTACACTCTCTACGCCTGTGAGTGTAAGTTCCGTTAGTTGAACAAGATGAAGCGGCATTTGAAATTCCACCATAGCCTGTAGAAGTTTTTGTCTGTTGACTGAGTCGTGTGCGGCTTTAAAATCCACGAATATGTGGTGGGTGTCGACTCCGAAGTCAAGCTTCATGTTGTACCTATTTTAATTTTACATTATTATAGGTCCACCGATTCTAATCTCAGAAGTTCAGAAGGCTATCGACCAAGCGAAACGAAGAAAGGCTTCTGGTCCTGACGAAATACGTGCAGAATTGTTAAAACTATTAGATAATAAGAGTGTTGCGATTATTAATATATTATTGCGATTAATTAATAAGATATACAGCAGCGACAAATTACCATACAACTGGTTAGAATCGATATTTATAACTATTCCCAAGAAAAAGAATGCCAGACAGTGTAGCGACTATCGACTTATTAGTTAAATGAGTCACACGCTCAAAATTTTTATGAAAATATTGCATTGTCGCATATATAAACTTTGTGAGGGGATAACTGGTGATGAGCAGTTTGGTTTCCGAAACGCCATGGGTGCTCGGAAAGCTCTTTTTTGCATGCGAATACTTTTACAAAAGGGCATGAGCTTAGGAAAAATATTTACGTATGTTTTATATATTTCGAAAAAGCCTTTAATAGAGTACCACATGCATTATTATTTCAATGCTTAGACTCAGTTGGTCTGAACACGTATGACATTAGATTGCTTAAAAATCTTGTGCTCAGACCGCTTGTGTTAAGGTGGACCAAGAGGTTTCAGTTAAAGTTTCTATTAAGCGTGGTGTCAGAGAGGGATGTGTTATGTCACCGATGTTGTTTAATGCCTACACTGAACCAGTTTTTGAAATAGCGTTAAATAATTGCCGTGAAGGTGTTAAGATCGGTGATGAAATTATTAAAACATCAGATACGATGATAATAACACAATAATGGCAGAAAGTCTGGAAGATCTTCAACCCCTGTTGAATGCTGTAAACAACGAATGCACTGAAAAGGGCTTAACAATCAACGCAAAAAAAATAAAATGGATGATGGTCGGAAAAATTAATATCGAAGACTCAGTACTAAGATTAGATAACAAAATCCTGGAAAGGGTGGAACACTTTAGATATCTGGGTAGCTGGATTGACTGCAGGGTTAAAAGTAACGAGGAAATTTCGACCAGAATAGAACCCGCACGGAAAAACTTTATTAACTGGTACTATGCTATATTATATACTAGTACTATACTAGTACTATATTATGCAGTAGAAGTCTGTCGTTGACCACACGTCTAAGAGTATTAAAGTGCTACGTCTGGTCCACGTTGTTCTATGAATGTGAAACCTAGACAACAAAAATAAAAAATCTTAACAAATTAGAAGCATTTGAGTTATGGTGTTACCGTCGCATGCTCAGAATCCCGTGGACAGCACATATATCTAACGAACGTGTGCTAGAGACCGTGCACAAAGATCGAGAATTGATCAACATCATCAAAATGAGAAAGGTCCAATACTTCGGTCATATAATGAGAGTACCAAATATCTCTTACTTCGCTTAATCATTCAGGGCAAAATCGAAGGAAAACGTTCGGTCGGAAGAAAACAACTGCCGTGGCTGCGTAACATTAGACAATGGACAGGTCGAACGGTCGAGGAACTGTTTCATCTAGCTGCCGACCGAGAATCAGTTCATCAGCTTGTCAATATGACGATAGCCAACGCTTGAATACAATCACGGCACACAAAGAAGATACGAGAACTTTCATTGTTCTCTGAGATTTGTGCAGGACAAACAGAAATGTTCAGTTGGCAGCCTTATTTTTAAATCTTGTGCAAGTCACAGACTTGCATGTGATTGAACAAAAATTCTTGGAGAGTGGACATTCGTACATGGAATGTGATTCCATGCACAGTGCGATTGAGAAGCAAAAAAAAAGTTTGTCTGTGTATTCTGCCAACGATTGGTTGAACATTTTTGGGCTGTCCCGTTCTGGAAACAAGAAGAAAAAATTACCATATCAGGCTGAAGAACTTCATTATAAAGATTTTTACGACTTGGAGTTATTGGAAAATACTTTAATTAAAAACAGGACCTTTAATACTGGAGGAGAAAAGGTAAACTGGTTGAAAATTAAAAGTTTGAGGTACGAAAAAGAGAAACCTTTTAATATACAACATAAATGTAACTTTAGTGATAATTATAAGGCCATAAATGTAACAACTCGTAGATCAAGCCGTGCTTATCAGCTATTTTTTGAAGATATTTCAAAATTGTACTCTGCTCCGATTAAAATTAGTGGTGCCACGAAGAAAGACAATGCAGTTATGCGAGAAGAAAGTAATACCAGAAGTATTTCACAGAAGGTACGAAGATTTGCCGATTAATGAAAAAATTATCGATGTTCTGCTTGAACCTGATGTTAATGATACAGATAAAGAAGACTGATTATCTCTTTACTTTTTTTAGTTTTTTTGTATGTATTTGATAATTAAAAGTCTCTGAAAATATCTGTTGTCCTTTCTTATTTTTATTTTTCACCAGGATTATTTAGTGCCGAAATTTTAGTTGTCTAAGATTATGAAATAAAAGATTTTAATAATAAAATTGATACGACCAAAACTAACTTTAAAATGGGGTTAGTTGTTTGTCAACTTGTGTAAAATAGTAGCAGTATAAACAAGCAGAACGCACTAAGTCAGTTCATTATTTTAAAACATAATTACTAATTAAACTAAAGTAATGACTGCTGTTATAATATACCATATCTTTTAAAACACCATTAATAATTTTATAAAAGTAATCGAATTAAATTTCTAATTAACATTCTACTAAAAACTTGATTTTCTCAAAACACTGTTTTTTAGTTGCAATCTGCTCGTATACCCTCAATATACCTACATAATATTTCAATATTTTTATTCGACAATCAACAGTATTTGAAACCCAGTTCTTGGCACTGTATTGGCGACGTGCAAGTACTTGGAGGGGATACGAGAAACGATCGTGCGCGAGTAGCGGAGAAAAGTGGATTTATATCATAAAAAAGCATAAGTAACCTAACCTAAATTATGCATTATTCCTGCGCCCAATTTTAAAGTCAGTTTGAAATAAATAATAAATAAAAGTTCACTTTTAAGTGTACATTTTAATTTCATAACACTCACTTACGAGTTCATTTTAACCCAAAAATCAAGTTTAATGTTTAAATGTTATTTTTTTAAGTTTACAAATATGCATCAAGTTCAAGTTTTTCTGAAGATGTATTAAGATATATTCGCTGTCCAAAAGTTTACAGGGAAAGAATTAATTGTTCAAACCAATATGATGATATTATGGGCTTAACCTGCTAATTTATGCATTAGCATTATTTATGATAATTTATTTTTCTTAATCCTTTCATTCTTTTTTGACATTTGCCACTACTAAAGCTTTTCCCTTTGACTCAGTGCTTGGTTGAAAAGTTATTTGGTGATTTACTTTCTCAAATCCAGTTTTTATTATTGCATTCATATTAACAGTACCTAATGCTGTAATTTAATAATATATTTATTTGTATTTACACTACATACAACGTTTCTTCTTCTTCT